CCCTTACACCCTCCCTACTTCTTACTTTTTACCACCTCCATACTTCAATCTGCTCCATCCTTCTTCCTACTCCATGTGCCAAGTTATGCCCTCAGATATCTACATAGCTTACTCCTTGACCTCCATCAAATGTTTCCTTCAATGTCATCTTTAACATTAGTGTCTCCCCTTGACACCCAATAAAAATAGAAGCCCTGCAACATCATGCACTGCAAATCTCCTTTACCAGACTTATAACTTCTTTATGATATTTATATTTACTTGACATATTTTTATGAGTTTGCGTACTGTCTCCCTATCTTGACTTTATCTGTTTTGCTTTGACCAGTGTATTCAAATTCAGTACCTAATAAATATTTGTATTGTCCTGTGTATTCCTTTATTAGATCAGCTGCTAGATACTTTCTGTTGGGCTGGGGTAGGTATTTTAAATTTTTATTATGATGTATCACACATGCAAAAGAAATCATAATGTTAAAATACTAAAATAAATTCCTGTGTATCCACTAGTCAGCTTCACACATACTGCAAGGTATATTACTTGCTATTGTTGCTGGTGTCCAGAGGGATATTATTGATACTATCAGTAAACAGACCTTCGATATGGAAATTTTGCTAAGCTTTATAGTTTTAATGATTTGTTGATTCTTTTAGATTCTCTAAGAAGATAATAATCTCAAGTTATATCACCAGGAATAGATTAAAAATAAACTGCATATATTATGATTTTATTTTATGAGTCTATTTAATCTTCAGATATGTAACTCATTTAATCTTCTCAACATCCTGTGAAGTAGGTATTCTTTATTGTTTCTGCTTTACAGATGAGAGAAACTTGGTACAGGAGGTTAAGTGACATATCTGAGGTCAGCTGCAAGCAGCAGAGCAAACATTTTAAATTTCAAACCTGGTCACATGGCTTGAGGGTCTAGTTTCTTTTTCCTTTGTCTTTCTTTCTTTTTTTTTATTTTTTAAATTTTAATTTTTTTTTTACTGTTTGTACTGACTGTCAAAGTAACTGTCATTCACATACTGTTTCTTTTCTTTCAGGCTTCTATCCTCTTCGAGCTACTACGTTTTGGGCGTACTTGTGTGTTGTTATTGTTACTGTATGGGACAAGTCCTCCTCTACTATATTAAATAAGCAATTTAAACAGATGATCCTGAGATCCTCGGTTAAATTCACATTTTTTCTGGGTTTTTTGATATATAGATGTTATCCAATTAAGAAAGTAAACTGAGTTTTTTAAAAACACCTGATCATTAATAGATCTTGAGATCCTAATAAAGGATGTCTTGGTTACTTTCTCTTGGCTGGAACAAAAATACCCAACACCCACAAGTTAAAAGAGGAAAGATTTATTTTAGCTTATAGTCTGCAGAGGTTTCTGTCAATAGTCTGCTGACTCAGGCACAGCAGCATGGCAAAGGAGCATAGCAGAGAAGAGGCAGTCCTTGGCAAGGCGGGCAGAAAGCAGTGAGCCTGCCTTTTTCTCTCCCTTTATATTTCATTCAGGCTACAAGCCTATTTTGACTGATGCCCCCACACCTAGTGTGGAACTTCCCAATATTCACACGCAGAACCGTGCTAAACCAATCAGTGGATTGATCCATTTATCACACCTTTAAACCAGTAGCACAGACCCGTTATCCAGCTGCCTCCCAAAAACCCACCTATGAGCATGAGACTTTGGGAGGGACATCTAGATATAAACCATAACAAATTATTTTGTTACTACTGAGTTTATCATTTGACTTTTCTCCTGAGCTGGGATATCAGAGTCTGATCAGTCCTCAGATTTGCCTAGAGAGGGGTGTGGTAAGGGCTAAAGAAAAAAGACAGACACAAAGGCCACCCTCAGTTCCTTGTCTTATGGGTCTCTCCATCATTACTACTTGCTTGATCAAAACCAGCAAGAGATGGGCTGGGTATTTAGTTCATTGGTTCCACCACCTGCCTCACAAGCTCAAGGATCCAAGTTCAATCCATGGTATAAAAAAAGAGAGAAAAGAGTGTGCTAGCAAGACAAGCATTAGATTCTTAGGTCATCTTTGTTGTACTCTATTTGTTAGAAGTGAGTCACAGTGCTACTCGCCCTCAAAAGGACAGAGTTGCACAAGGGTATTACACAAGGGTGTTACTCCAGGAGGCACAGATAATGGGTCACATGTCCCTCTTTGTAGAAACTGGAAATCACTTTTCCCTGAAGGTTTTAAAGGCAATGAAGCATTTTAAGCAGTAAAGTGATATCACTTTCTTGCTTTAAAATAATCACTGGCCAGGAAGTTTGGAGATCAGTGGGAGTGAAAATTTGAGTTATGGAATGGTTAAGAGACAGATTATAATCCTAGTGAAATGGTGGTGGTTTAAACTAAGGTAATGGTAAGTTGGAAAAGAGAAAGATGGACAATTGAAGAGTTATTTCAAAAATATAATACACAGGCCTGGTAGTAGACAGTGAAAGAAGAGAATTGAAAATATTCTGTTCTGGCTTATGTACATTGGTATGTTTGCAGTAACATCATTCAGTGAGGAGGGGTAGTTTACACATGAGTTTGAGGTGGGTGGGTTAGTCTCTTAACAAAACTGGAGAGACTTAACCACATTCCCTTGATACACCAAACCTATCTGGATAAGCCCCACGCCCACCCCACACCAGCAATCGAACTCAGGACCTCGCACTTGCAAGGCAGGCATGGTGCCATTGAGCTAAATCCCTGGCCATAGACTTTTTGCCTGCAAAGAACCTATTGCTCAAAGTTGTGGAAACTGGCTTCAACTTTTTAACTCTGGTCACTGAAAGGGATCTGAGGAGGGTCCCTCTAGGGGCAGACAAAGACTTCAACTTATCCCCTACTTATGGAGTAGGTTGTAAATTTGCTGATTTATGTCACAGAAAGGAATTTTAGGACACGTCATTGGGAGACATACATTTATTAGGTAAAGTCAAAGAAGTATACATTAAAAAGTAGAGTGCAGTTGCTTAAGGAAAAGGTACATTATGGTCTGGGCCTGGGAATATTTGTGTTCTTGAGAGTGTCCTCAAGATGGATGATCTAGACTGTGTATGCTTAGTGTCTTGTCAGGTTACCCCTTAGTGGGCTAAGCTGTAATGAAATCTATTTGCAAATATTTGAAGTTTAGAGATATGGTATCTGATTAATTGTGCTGTATCCTGGAGGGTAGAAATGTATAAAATTTTTAGGCTCTTTTTACAGGTGAAAAACATAGGCCCAATTTATAGGCATCCAGTATGTTTTATAAAAACATTTGACACCATTTTAAAACTCATCATAGGGGATTTGCACCTGTACACAGTACTGATGTTCACACTTTTTTCCCATTACTTCCCTCCCGACACCCCTTCCCGCATTATGTATAAAAGCTTTCTTTCCATTTTTTCCTTCTGCTTTCACTTTTTTTTCTTGTCCCTTCCTTCCTTTCTCCCCTCCCCTGCCTTGTTCCCATTCCTATTTGAACATTTCTTCCTATTTTCTATTACCAATTATATGTTTTGGTCCTTATTTGCACTTTTGATTTCTCATACCAGAGAAACAATACAGTACTTAAACAAGTTGTGTCCGATTTATTTCCGACTTAAGGATATGGTCTCAAGGTTCATCCACTTAGGTATAAATGTCTCAAGTTCATCCTTCATTATGACAAAGTAGTACTCCATTGTATAAAACAACAACAAAAAAAACCCCACCTTCTTTATCCATTTGTCCATTGATGGTTATTTGGGCTGTTTCCAAGTCTTAGCTATTACAAAATGTTCCACTGTAAACATGGGTGTTCATATATCATTGTGGTATGATGCTTTTAATTCTTTCAGGACAATACCAAGAAGAGGAATAGTTGGGTCATATGGAAACTCTAGTTCTAGTTTTTTGAGAAATCTCCACAATGATTTCCACAGTGGTTGCACCAGGCTACAGTCCCACGGGCTTATTGTATTTTTAATACTCCTAGGATTTTTGTTTTTTTTTTTGTTTTGAGGGCTTTTTCTGGGAGGGGAAAAAAGGCGTTGTAGCCTGGGGTGATTTTGATTGTGTCTTGAAGCTGCAGTTTTCTTAAAGGCGCAATTTTTCTTGTCTCTTTTTTACCTATCTTTATTTCTTCTGTCCTCTTTCAATTTCACAAATGTGCACTGCAAATTTCCTGTAGGTTAAATAATACAGGAATGAGTGTGCAATCAGAAATCTGTTGTTCAAAAAAAAAAAACTGTATGGTTTTTGAAGTCAAAGGATGAGTTTCAGGATGACAAAAACTGACAACAGTATTTTGGGTTGGATTCAGGAGCGCTGATCACGTGTGTAGATAAAGAGCGGAGAAATCCAAGAGTCAAACTCGCGTCTCCAGTGTTTTTGTCCTCTAACCTCCCCTTCCAGAGAGCAGACACAGAAGATGTTGTCATATACCCTCGCCAGAGGAAAGGAGCTCCCTTGAGATTCTCCCTACCGGGCGCCATTGTGAAGCCACTAGCTGAGAAAAGTAGTATGGGAGCGCGGGGGCTTCTGGGAGTCGTAGTTCCCAGTTCGGGGTGTGCTGGAGCTGCCAGCCAGGCTGGGTCCTCCACGGCGGCTTTTTACGCATGCGCGACTCCAAGCGGGCCCAAGAAGTTCGTACCCTTTGTTAGGGCTGGGATGGGAGCTGAGTTGGTTGGTCCGAAATTGCTTCGCCTCGGAGGTGGCCTCAGGGCTCGTTCGGTGCTGAAAACGGGCTGGAGTGCGCAGGTGTGAAAGAGGCCCGGCGGGTGAACCTGGAGCCGGGTAGTCTCACGCTCTGGCTGAGTCCCTCCCGGCGAGACGGGTTGAGAGCAGTGCCGGTGGGCGCGCAGCGGGCCAGGCGGGCGGAGTGGGGACCCTGAGCGAGGGACCCGAGCGCTGCGACAACTGTGTGTGTTCTGCCTTGGCTGCAGCCACAGCGTCATCTCTTCAGACACTCGGTGTAGAGCTCTCCCGGGACACCTCCAAGCGGAAGGGACCGTTTTAAGGATGCAGTCCGCAGGCTGCCCCTTCGCAGCACAGGCTCTACGGTGAGGAAGAAACCCGACTGGATCTGACACACCGCAGAGTCCCACCCCTCTACCCCACCCCTCACCCCGGGCGACGGAGAGGAGCATCCCGCCTCTTGGGACTTCCTACTCTGCACAGAGAAGTCCTGATTTGGTTGAAGGCAGAATCTTCAGACCTGGAGGAGGTGGTGATCATGGAGACCGATTTGTCACAAATGCCCGAGAAAAAAGGTAGAATTGCTCAAGTGCTAAACCTGTGTCGGAGAAGGGGGGGATTCTTCCTCCTGAAGGGAAAATGGTTGGGAAGGGACAGATGACTCTTAGAAGTGCTGTTTGTCTCTTCAGTCTTGGGGATGGATGCTCTCTGAGTGAGTGTGGAGGACTTGGCTTGGGATCACACAAACACACTCCAGCGTGGTGGGTAGCAGAACCTTCAAAATATTTCCCAAATATGAGTGAAATGTTAAGCTTCTGAGGTGTGGGCGTAGCCACAACTACTTTGCTCCCATGTTCTTCCGAATAATTATCCCATCCTACTATCCTGTCCATCACTGGGGCTGTGAATTAAGCTTTGTGGTTGACAAAAATATTTCCAAACACTTGTTATCCTACTTTGTGTAGTTACCATATGATTTCAATACAGTACATGTTTTTTGTTTAACATACAGAGGAAACAGACGCAGAAGTCGGAGACTGACTTCCGTTACTACTAGACTAGTGTCTCCTAAAGTTTGGTCTGTGACCTTATGCATCAACACCCCCCCGCCCGGATTGTTAGGTTTCTAGATTGCACCCTAGAGTCAACCATGATAATTACTTTGTTTGTTTTTGTTTTTTTGAGGCAGGGTCTCACTTTATAGTTCAGGCTGGCCCTGAACTCATTTTGTAGCTCAGGCTGGCCTAGAACTCATGGCAATCTTCCTGCCTCTGCCTCCTGACTGCTGGGATTACAGGCATGAGACACCACACCCAGTTTAAATAAACTTTTAGAGTAATTTTTGAGAACCATTGAGCCTACTTCTGTAATATTTTTATAAGTTAAAATTATCTTACTCTGATTTCTAGATCAGAGAGTGTCATCTTCCAAAACATGTTAATTGTAACAACTGAATTTAAGTCCAAGTTACATTCCTGGTATTTTCCATAATCCTGGTATTTCCATAATCCATAATATAACATAATCCATAATCCTGTTTAGGGCTCACTTCAGTCTTAGTTTTAGCAGGGAGCACATTTAGTATGGCGGAGGGACTTTTAGACTTGGAAGTCTGAGTAGCTAGATAGGTGTAGCTCCCTCATTGCTCTCTTGCCCTTAGCTATTTCTTCCCAGAATTCCTCCCAAGAGAAGAACACAGAAGACAGAGAAATGGAAGCTCTGCATCTCACAGCCAGATCCCAGGTGAGTGTATCTACTAACTATTGAAATCCACCTTATTTCTCAAAGTGCAGTCATGCACTTCCCTCTTTTGATGTGAAATTTCTTTATCCACAAGAGAGCATCTAGACAGCTGAATTCTAAGAGATTAGTGGAATCAGAAAATATTTTCTATTTATCTGTAGTGCCTCTTTTGTCTAGTACTTACTGTATTTTTTCTGCCTTTGTGCAGTGGTTTACATTTTGTTATTATGATTTTTTTCTTCTAATTGTTTGGTAGTTTCCCCTGAGTATTAATCTAGCTATTCTAGGATCAAGGTCAGTTATTCTCATAATGTCTTCTCTGTTTAATGGCTACTTAGTGGTTTTACATTTTATTTTCTTTTTGAAGGATGATTCTTTTATTTCTTAAATATCAAATTATTTCCATTATATAGTGTTTGCTTTGAAAAATTATTAGACATGAGAAATATTCCAAATAATACAAAGGTATCTTTCATACTGTTTATCCAGATTCTCCAAAAGTTAACATTTTACTTTGTGTTATTACTGCTTTTGCAACATCGACAGTAACATTGGTACCTTAGTGTAATCCTAGATGTTTTATTTTTCTGTTTTCAAAATTTGTTTCCTTTGTTTTGTTCAATTTGAATTGTATGTTCTGTTCATATATTTACATAATTTTAATGAAATGAAAGTGTTTAAAGCTATGACATTTCCTGTAAGTACAGTGTTATTTGACATTGAGTTTCACATTTTGTTCATAATTATTTTTAGATATGGTATAGTTTTTCAGTTCAGTCATTATTTTGTTCTATTTCTTTTTGGGAATTTATTAAAGTTTACTTTGTTTTTGCAAATGCTTCATGAATGTATAAACAGAAGATATTTTCTGTCCATTTATAGCATTTGGTATATGTTTGTTTTGGCAACCTTGGACTTTTATACCCATTCCCTACAGATTTACTTAAAGAAACATGTTCAGTACTGGTATGTTTCTATATGCATATATTTTTTATACTTTTTATGTTATAGAAGTGATATATTAGAGAGGAGATATTAAGATATAATGGTTTTAGAAATGATGATCTTGATAGTTTACACATAAACATTTTAAAATTTAATCTGTAACCTTTGTCACAGTCATTTTCCAACTTAACTCGTTATATCTTGAATTAATTCCATGTTAACTGGACTTGGTGCTCACTCCCAGTCTTTTTATTTAATGACTTCCCGTTTGCAAGTTCTTTATTGTAGTTCATATTCTGAAGGTTAGATTGATAGGACTCATAGGAAAATTGTGTAGACATGCCTGTTTTTATTTCCCTCTACCTGTATTTTGTTTACCAAATTATATTGGTGACTCACTGGTTTATATTTTAATATTTTATTCTCCAGAAAAATTGTTGTCCTTCAGTGGAGCCACCATGAACTACGTCACTTAATATTATCATGTGGAGTCTAACACAATATATCTGGCTCACAGTTACTCTCCAGTGACTTTACATAGGATAGTCAAATTTGAACACCATTAGAATACTTACCACTTCTTTTTTTTTTTGGTACCAGGGATCAAACTCGTGTCCTTGTGCTTTCGAGACAGGTGGCGGAACCACTGAGCTACACCCCAGCCCTTTACCACTTCCTCTTGTTGATTGCATATCAGGCCTTTGCTCCAATTCAAACAGAAATGGAAAATAAAAAAGAGGCTATCAAGTGAAATGTAGTGACCAAAGATATGTTTTATGTCTTAGGAAACAATGACATTCAAGGATGTGGCCATGGATTTTACACCAGAGGAATGGGGGAACCTGGATCCTGCACAAAGGGATGTGATGCTGGAGAACTATAGGAACCTAGTCTCCCTTTGTAAGAATGTATTATTGCAACTCTGAAATGTAATTGCTCTATTGAAAATGAAATAGCTTAATAGGCCTTCAGTTTCTATTCAGAAATCATGAAGTATTAATGCTTTCGTGCCTAGAGATAAATCTTTGTTTTGGTGCTGGGTGCTGAACCTGGGGCCTTGCTCATGCTAAGCATAAAACTACTACTAAGTTTCATCTCTGGCTGAAGAAAATCTGGGTTTGCTCTAGGTTCTTGGTGAAATTTCTGTGATTGCTGCATAATGAGACTCAAGTGACAACCTGATTCATACTAGTTTAAGAAGAAAATAGTCTTGACTGGGAATCAAATATATTATCATTAATTTATTTATTTAATTTTAATCAGTTGGCTTGGCTTTGCGTGAGCTTTTTTCTTCTCTCTCTCTCTCTCTCTCTCTCTCTCTCTCTCTTTCTCTCTCTGTCTTTCTCTCTCCCTCCCTCCCTCTTCTTTTTTTCCTCCTCCACTTCCTCCTCCTCCTTTTTCTTTTGTTTCTTTTTTAGTTGTTTTTGTGTTGGTGGTGGTACTGGAAATTGAACTCAGGGCCTTGTGCTTGCCAGAAAGGTGCTGCACCACTGAGCTGCATCCCCGGCCCTCTTCTTTTTCTTTGAGGCAGGGTTTTGCTAAGTTGCTGAGGCTAGCCTTGAACTTGATATTTTCCTACATCAGCATCTTGATTAGTTGGGTGGACAGGTTTGTGTCACTGTGCTTAGATGAGCTTTTATTCTTAAGGTCTCCCTATGTGGCAGAGATATCCAATGGTAGTTACATTATTCTTCCAGTTAGAGAGCTAAGCAAAAAAAGAAAATGATTTTGTCTTGAGTTATAGCAAATAGGGTTGTATGCCTATCAGAAGTCATCATAGAACCACAGAATACTCTCTGTCCTAATCTGGATCTTGTTTTCACCACTGTGTGTGTAACATGTATGTATGCATGTGTTTGTGGAGGATAGATGGGATTATGTTGGCCCCTCCCAAATCTTACATAACAAATCCCTCAAGAAAATGATTTCCAGAAATTGAAAAAAGAAGAAAGAGAACATTATAGAAGACAGAAACTTTAGTTACCATAGTCACAATTTTGTTTTCCAACTGAGGTCCAATTTTTTTTTTCATCTATCATAAGGTAAGGACTAAGCTGCAAAGTCATTGAAAAATTTCTACACATACTAAGGAAATTAGAAGCATTTTCTTTCTTTGACAGATAAAAACATCTGTCTTTGCAAGCACACTTTAACTCTTTATCAGGCTTAGATCCTGCTGCATATATTTGAAGATCCATCCTCCCCTATGCTAGATCTTCCTGTAATAATCCTGTCTTTATAGATCGAGAGACTGGAGTTAATACTCCAGTGTAAATCATTGTTACCATTATAAATAACTAAGGTCCATTTCTTTTCACTTTCTTTTTTTTCCCAAATAAACAGGGCTTCCAGTTTCCAAACCTGAGAACTATAATTTGGACAATGGAAAGGAACCGTTGAAGTTTGAGAGAAAACCTCCAAAACATAGCTACTCAGGTAAGTCAGGTAGATGAGAATTTTCAGAAATGTCCAGGAGGACAGATAATAAGTGTCACTTTTCAGTTCTAATAAAGAATATTAGAAGTGCTTGTGTGCTTTCTTAAAAATACTTTAAGTTTTAAAACCTTTTAAATACATAAAGAAATCCAGAAATAAAATAATATGTATCTATCACCAAGATTAAACACTTGCTAATATTTTACTTCATTTGTATCTTTTTCTGTTTCCTCCTTTTTTTGCAATATAAAATACATAAAAGCATTATGACTGTTCAGTTTATGAATTTTCACAAATGAAACACATTCATGTTACTAGTGCTCAGGTCAAGTAAACAACTTTGCCAACACCGCCAGAAGCATTCTCATACCCTGTCTCCTCACCTCCCTCCTCCCAAGGATAACCTCATCCTAACTTGTAGGACCATAGTTTTAATTTTGAACTGTTCTTGAGTGATATTGTATATATACTTGTGTCTGGCTTCCTTCATTGAACATTAACTTTAAGATATATAGATGATATAGTATGATATATTGTAGTTCGTTCTCATTGTTGTATAGTCTTTCCTTATGTTAGTATTCTAACATCCATTTTCCTAAAGATAGGCATTTGTATAGTGTCCAGTTTTTGTTTATGTCAGTAATGCTGCCATGTATATTCTTTCACTTGTGTTTTCATGAATGCATACATGAGTATCTGTTGCATATATACATGCAGGTAAAATTATAGGTTAGATGCATGTTTGTTTTTTGGTAGAAATTGTCAGAGAAGTTTCCAAGGTTATACCAATTATATTACTACCAGCAGAGGATGTGAGTTTTAGTTACTCATATGCTTATCAACTTATATTATCTACCTTCATCTTAGCCATTAGTAAGGATCTGTGATATCGTTTACTTTTTTTTTTTTTGGTACCAGGGATCAAGCTCAGAACCTTGTGCTTGCGAGGCAGGCAGTGGAACCACTGAGCTAAATCCCTGGCCCCTCTTACTTTTTAAGAAATAAAAAATATTAGAAATTTAAAGTCCTTTCATTCTTTTATTCTCTATAAGCACTATAAGTATTTCAAAGATAGTGTGAATGATTTTAATATTTGCATGTGTGTATGTATGTATACAAACATACATATGTACCTAAAACAATATGTATATTTTATTGATATGTGCATAAATAATAAGTATGTTTTACTTTTATGCTTTTTAAATCTAAATTTTTTTAACTTAACATTGTATTAATCTATAATGAATTGTCTTTATTTTAGCTGGTATGGATTAGGTCCATTGTTTGAATAAAGTGAACACTTTATTGTTTTGCCTTAGTAAGAGTTGCAATGATCATCTCTGCATATCAGACTCATGTTCATCTTGAGGCGTGCAGTTAATTAAGATAGCTATCTGAAGGAGGAATAACTCAGTCTCGTAGGGTTACATGTTAATTTTACTAGGGATTATCAAGGTCCTACCACATATCCTAGCTAATACTTGATGTTTTCAGACTTGTTAATTTTGTTAATCTGGTGGATACAAAATGCTGTTTCATGCTTTTAAATTTGCATTTAACTGAATGATAAATATGAGTGAGTTTGAGCAATTTGTGTTGATTTGCTATTCAGATTTTCTCTTTGTGAATTATCTACTGATGCTTTGCCCAGTTTTAAAATTGGTCTGTTCACATCTTTCTCTTGATTTTGTGGAGGTATTTGTTTATTTTAAATTCTAACACATGACAGAGACAGGATTACAAATCATTGAGAAAAGTTTTCTTCTGATCTTTGGCTTATTTTTATTTTAATGTCTTTTTTTTTTGTACTAGGGATCGAATTCAGAACCTTGCATTGCAAGGCAGGCGGTGGCACCACTAAGCTAAATCCCCAGCCCTTATGACATCCTTTTCGTTTTGAATTTTTACATTTTGATGTCAAATTCATTAAGTTTTTTATATTTACTTTCTGTTAATTATCTTTCTTATCCCAGTGTCAGAAACATAATCTGTATTTTTTTCACAAATGTTCGTTTTTTTACATATATTTTCATATGTGGTTTAAAATAAGGAACTAATTTTAACTTTTTCCATCCTTACAGTCTGTATTCAAGCATCATTTACTGAATAATCTTCTGTCATTGATTTGTAATCCTATCTTTGGAGTAAACCCATTTCCTCTATATACTTAGATTTGTTTCTAGTTAACTCTGCTTTAGTTGTTTATCTGTACTCCATTGCCATACTGTTTTAATTACTATACTTAATAGAGAGTGTGTGTGTGTGTGTGTGTGTGTGTGTGTATGTATAAATCCTTTCTGAATGTTCTTTTAAAAATTCTTTCTATTTTGAATACCAAGAAAGCTTTAAAATCTTTCCATGTGATTATAGGTATGTCTGTTTCTCCTTGTGGGCCTTTCAGTTTTGAGGACTTGCCTACTTACAACTCTTCTTTTTGGGGGTATTGGGATTTTTTTTTTAATATTGCTATTTTCTTAGTGATTCATAAGAGCACCTAAGGTATTTATCCTTTGTTATAGATTTTTTTAAAGATTTTTACCTTTCAGTTTTCCTATGCTTTTTGGTATACAAAATTAATATTACAACCTTTTATTTTCTGCTTTTTGAGTACTGTTTAAGGGCCTTCCTCATCCCAAGATTATGTATGTATTTGCTTCTGCTTTCTACTATATTTGTCCTTTAATATTTCCTTTCTTTAAGTTATTGATCTATTTGAAATTGCCTCTTGCTTTTGGGTGTATCTTCTTAGCTTTCTTTTTTGAGCACTTCAGATTTTAAATTGATCAAGATTTGATTTTAAACTGGGCATGATGGCACATGACTATAATCCCAGCACTCTGGGAGGCTGAGGCAGAAGAATTAAAAATGCAATACCAGCCTGGCCAGTTTAGTGACTTGTGAGACCAGGTTTCAAAAAAAAATTAAAGAAGTTTGGGATGTAGCTCAGTTCAGAGACCCTGGTTCAATCCTCAGTACCGAAAAAATAAGATTTGACTTTACTCCCTGTTGTTCTGTGTACCTAAAGTTATAAATTCAAGTGTTTATAAGTGTGAGAAGATAATATAACTGAGCAGATTAATTAGGATAGAAAATGGTAAAACTAGAGGGACACATGCCTCCAATAAAAGAAGTATTCATTACTCTTTAGCTCAAGAGCTGGCAAGTTTTTTATGTAAAAGGCTAAGTAATACATAATTAGGTTTTATGGGACATATGGTCATTCTGGATATACTCTGTCATGATAGGGTGAATACAGCTTTAGACAAGTAAATGGATGGTGGCTATCATTTAGTAGCCTTCCAGCTTTTTTTCTAGAGAAAACCAAAATTTGTTTCTGTGTAAAATCTCCCTATATTTAGATTTTGGCAACAAATGTAAAAATTTTGAATATAGATGTAGGCCAGATGCAACCGAGTCTGAGATGAGATTTGGCTGACTGGTCTTCTGTTTGCAGCTTCTGTCATCTTGTTTGGTAGTTTAATTACACCCATAACCTGTTATGATCTATTGAGATGATCCCCAAATTTGTATTTCCATTCTGGACCTCTTGTAGGGGATCCTGCTCTGAACATCTGCATAATAATTGGATGTCTGTGTTTGTTTATGTCCAAGACATCTCAAAACAAAATGTTTAAAACTGAATACCTGAATGTGCCCAAATTCCCCAGTTCTTTATTTCTCCAAGAGGATCCTTTCTCCAGTAATTCTCTTACGATATTTGCTGTTTTATCAAATTGTACATGCCAGAAATCCATGATTTTATTTATTT